GAAGTGGACAAACCCCTCCACAGTCAAGTAGACAATTATGAGTAAAGTTGCCCATGAACCCCGAAAGCACTGCAAAGGACAGGCCTGGTTCAGAGTTCAGAAAACTCAAGGACTCCGCTTCATCCTGTTGCCGGCCTGTGTCGGGCCAGTGGCGCAGTAGCCTGCGCCAGAACGGGCGACTCCAGACATGGAGCGGGGCACGGGTGGCCTCTAAGATGGCTTGAATTTCATCATTCAACCGCGGGCTCAAGAGTGCCTCAGGGCCGGCATGGCAAACTGTCGTCCAAAGGCAGGCTAAGGGGATGGAGTTTGCATAGCAATCGTTAGCTCTATTGGCTAGAAGTAGGTTTCGAATGTGCTGCAAAACGACCGTCTCAGCTCCTGTGCTATGGACTGTGCCAGAGGTGGGCGGCCCCGGCGTTCGCGTCGCAGCGTGGTAGCTGTGAGTTGCAATGCCGCATTCCCCGCCAGGTTTTCCAGGGTCGTCCACATGCGATAAGCTCGGGCCTCTCGCAGGCCTAGCACCACCTGGTACCAATCGACGACTGGGATTGTAGTTGATGAGAACTCCGTCTTCCTAGCAAAGCACAATCGTCTCCTGGAGCTGATCCATGATATCCTTGACCGTGAGGAGTGCAGTGTCCTCCACTGGGTCGAGTGAGCGGGTCGTGGAGTTCCACTTCGCATACTTGAAGCAATCGGGCTCCGTGAGAATCCGCAACCTCAACGCTTCCAGACGATGTGTCTGGTCGGAGGAGAGAAGCTTGATTCGCTGAATCAGCTCGGAGGCCCAGGTTTGCCATAGCACCACCCTTAGTGTGTGTGGCCTGGGATGGGTTGGTCTCCTGAAGTCGATGCTTCAATGCGAACCTGTTGATCCACCACCGTGAGAGGGGGTGCCGTTCCCTAAAACATGATCCACTTTGTCGATTGTTCTAATCCGTTGAGAACATCGGAGTGTCTCAGCAGCATCTGTGCCATTTGCCACACCAATGCGTCGGAAGCCGAAGTCTTGGAGGCTTGGCTGACGGGCTTTGGAGTCCCCCAGCTAGGTACTGCCTGCGCTGACCTCGCTGCTGGGCCCCGTGTTGAGTTCCATTGGTACCTTTGCCACTTTGCCCCCCGTCCCTGTCCCTTCTCGCTGGGCCTGGAGTACTTGTGCCGGGGAGTGGCATCTTGGTGAGGCGGAGGCGCCGGACGACCCTCCAGCCAAGCCTGACGGAGTATCGCATTGGCAAGCGAGTCTGCGTGTTGGGTTCGTGGGAAAATGAAGTCGATTTGAGTTTTCTGCGTACCCGCGTTGCTGTGGCAATGCTTTTTCCGGCTCCAGGTGTTGAGGGCAGATAGCCCAAAGTGGGTTATGAGCTGTTGGGGAGCGATGTTGGTCTTTTTGTCGAATGGTATCTGGAGTGGCCATGACGCTGCTTCCTACGTTTGGGTGATGCGGGAGGCAGGGGGTATTGAAATCACCCAGTAGTACTAGCTGCGACCTCGAAGGAACTCCCCTGATCACCTGTGTGAGGTGTGTCCATAGTACTTCCCTGCTGGCCATGGTTTCCTCCAATTTCGCACCCTCATTCCAGACGTGCTGGGAAACTGCTAGCAGGTGGGTGGCCGGGTCAGTTTCAAGCCTGGTCTGCAAGAGCCGGCCCGCAATGAGAGCATTCATCCTTATATGGGAGGCTGGGACCACACTCTTGTGAATCATGGCTAGGATTCCAGCCTGTCACTGTTTTGGCCAGTATGGATGAGATGGTAGGATTGTGTTTGCCACTCCGACTCGAACCCCCAACGCGTTTCCAAAAGAATGCATAGGTGGATCGTCTGCCCTTGGGAATGACTCAATTCCAACCGTGCCTCAACCTCTTTGATCTTGACGGCGGTAAGCCCACTCGCATTCCACGAGACCAGCGTGGTGCAGGTGACATGCGGGCCAGCGGGCGAGAAGGGCTGTTCGGAGGGGAACCTCCTGAGTCGGGGCTTGAAGTGTCAGTAGAGCCATGCAGTTGGGCTCGCTTCACCGCTCTGTGATAAGATCGCTTACCAGTCTTTGTTAGCTGCGAATAAACAGTTCCTAGGATGGGTGGGGCTTGTCGTGGGGTGGTATCAGGTCCACTAAGCTTCGCTGGCTTGGTGTTGACTTGATTGAGCTTGCTTCGGTGGTGAGAGCTATGCTTCGCATGAACAGGAAAAACACCAGATGGCTGCTCCGGGACTTTGGACCCGGATGGCTCACTTCTGTGGGCAGGCTGTACGGGGCCGGGGGTGGTCGCTTGAGCTGGCTTTAGGGTGTTGGGCACATGGCTGGCACTGGCTCTGTGCTGCTGTTGTCCGGTTGGACATGGTCGTAGTCAGTGGCAGGCAATCCTGTAGATATGAGAACAAGTAGAGCAGATTGAGGCTAGCTTTGATCCCTTGCAGCCTGCGCCTACCGTCCCGAATCAAGGGCAGTCATCTGCGAAAGAAGTGCTGACCCCAGTCTGCAGTCCTTGGCTGCTGCTCTTGCTGGCCAAGCGGAGGGGGTGACAACCTTGTGGGTGGATGGTCGCCTTGGGTGTGGGCGTGGGGTAGGTCAGAACAGCGCGACGCCTAAGAGCAGCAGTTGGGCAGTCGAGAATGTCAAGACTATCAATGGTCTGGGATCCCTGCCCGCCCTGCCCGAGCTGGTTGTGGTCGTAGCAACGGTTGTCCTGAAAAGGAGGCAGTGGGGAGGAAGCGGGCTTCGGGCTTGAGAGTGGAGTTGAAGGCAATCAGAGTCAGCAGCATCGGTGCAATAGAAGTGTCTAGTTGTTCTGGGCTGAGACTGGATCCTTCCCCGGGCAGTTTGGCTCCTGGCTGCTTGTGCAAGCGCCACCGAGCCTCTGCACAGTCCTGGCAAGTGCAACTGCTATGGAGATGGGCCACTAGGAGCTTATACGGACGGAGGCAGCTGGCTGTGTCTGCGTCGCTGGGGTGTGCAGTGTCGTCGCCAGACAGTGGTGTCGGTGTCATGGACGCGGACGCTTTGAGCCTCGTGGAGGACTTCGAGGTCTTAGGCGGCTGTGGTGGCGGAGGGGCAGCTGTCATAGGCGTGTTGAAGAGCAGCTCATACCTGGCAAGGGAAGGATGGGTGCTCCCTCCTCTGTCCAGGACCCAGCGGCGCTCGCCATCCGGTGATGTCGCCGTCTGCGCCGAATGGTCCCACAGGAGCAAAGAGGACTCCATGGTGGAGCTGGGTTCCGGAGCCTCTTCCGCCTCTGCTGCTTGCAGCTCGGAAGATGACACTGGATGGATGCATTGTAGTAGCATCTTCAGGAGCTGCATTTTCAGCAGATGTAGTCCCCGAGCGTGGAGCTCGTTCCTCCTCACAGGAGGCAATTTTCTCATCTTTTTTTTTGAAAGCCCTTTCAAAGGCAAGAGACAACGTAGCAAAGTCCAGAGGTAGGCTTGGCGACGATATAAGATGGCTGACGTCACGAAAGTACTGTAAGTACCGAGTAAAAACGGCTCTTCCGGAGGTGTTGTGCGGGGTGTCGGCGCAACAATGTCGTCATCATTCTTCCCGCACCTCCCCCCCCCACCCCCCAAAAGCAAGTCCAGAATCGGATGCTGAAGTTTGAAAACTCGTTGTTAGCAATGGAGTGTGACATGAGCAAAGTACCTTAACGACCGAGTAAAAAAAACTTTCCCCACCCAATTTCGAGTTTTCGCTGAAATCCCTCGCAAAGGCAAAAGACAACGTAGCAAAGTCCAGAGGTAGGCTTGGCGACGATATAAGATGGCTGACGTCACGAAAGTACTGTAAATACCGAGTAAAATGGCTCTTCCGGAGATGTTGTTCGGGGTGTCGGCGTAACAAGGTCGTCATCATTCTTCCCGCACCCCCCCCCCACCCCCCCCAAAAGCAAGTCCAGAATCGGATGCTGGAGTTTGAAAACTCGCAGGTGAAGTTTGAGGCTTCGTAAGATGTTCCTACATGACGAAAGTAAACTAAATACCGAGTATAACGGATGTGTGTTACAAGAGTATGTAAAAAGGGTAGTTGGTACGGGGGGGCTAGTAGTAGTAGTAGTAGTAGTAGTAGCAGCAGTAGTAGTAGTAGTAGTAGCAGTAGTAGTAGTAGTAGCAGTAGCAGTAGTAGTAGTAGTAGTAGTAGCAGTAGTAGTAGTAGTAGTCGTAGTCGTAGTCGTAGTGGTAGTGGTAGTAGTAGTAGTAGTACTAGTACTAGTACTAGTACTAGTACTAGTACTAGTACTAGTACTAGTACCAGTACTAGTAGTAGTACTACTAGTAGTACTAGTAGTACTAGTAGTACTAGTAGTACTAGTAGTACTAGTAGTAGTACTAGTAGTAGCAGTAGCAGTAGGAGTCACAGTCACAGTCCAGTAGCAGGAGTAGCAGCGCTGATGGTGTATCTGACGCCACGTTTTCGTGGGTCTTGGTAAGGGTTTTCATGGTATTTGCGGTATTTTCGGGCTTGGAGGTAGAGCAAGGACCAGTGTAGATTCTGGACGATTTTTGTGGTTTTACAAATGTATGCAAGGTGTTCATCATGGTGACGACGATATTATGGTTCAAGCAACCATGGGTCTAATGGTCATGATTCTGTCGTTGTCAATTTCGTGGCTCTTGAGAAAGGTTTTCATCGGTATTTACTTCGTTTTCGGGCTTCCAGTTAGAGCAATCACGAAGGTAGCAATTTGAGGGTTTTGTTTTTGCAGACGCGTGCCACGTATTATTCATCATGTGGACGAAGCTATGGTTCAAGCTCAATCAACCATGGATCTAATGATGTTGACGCTGTAGTTGCACATGCGTCATCATCCCCCCACCCCCAGAAACCCAAGTAGGAGCAATTAGCTTCGAGAGGTTGTCGTGGAATATGCTCTTATACCACAGGATCAAGATAATCTGCGCTGGGGTCTTTCTTGTAAAATGTGCTAACACCGCATGCATAAGGCCTAAGAGTGAGGGCGTCAGATATACCATCAAGGCCTAGTAGCTGTAGTAGTCGTCGTCCGATGCTCGAGGCTTGGGGCGTTTGGCCTCCGCCTACTCTTCCCAGCCTTGGCTGGTTTCTTATCAGCCGCAACCCTACGGCCCTACATCATGAGTGTTGCGAGTACGTCGCTTCGAGCTGCAGTGTCACAGGTGGTGGATGCTGTGGCCTTGGTCTCGTATCTGCCGCTTGGCTGGTGACACAGGCCAGAAAACAGTGGATGACTGATGCCCGGCGGGTACAGGAGACCCCTGAAGTTATGCAGTGGAAGCATACTTGTCAAAGTTCTTTCAGCCTGTCACTTCATGTTCCCTGCTTTGTATGCAGCCCTGCCACTCAGACTCGAGAACAAGTTTCAGTGTTGGCAGTAGAGGCTCGCAAGCACGAGTTGCCATGGCTTTCCACGAGACTTTGGGCTTGTATTTGGGATGGGTTTTTGCAACCAGATCATACCAGCATGCCAATATCCGAATTAAAGTGCTGCAATTCTGCCATACATCGGTTCGGGACAACAAGGCAGTGGAAGCAGGCACTGAACTTGCTTGCGCGCCTCCCAGAACTACAGCTGGAGCGAAGCATAGTATCCTTCAATGCTGCCATTAGCGCAACAGGGAAAGCAGGTCAGTGGGAGTTTGGATCGACTCTGTTTAATCAATTGCACTCGCTGTTTCTGAGACCCGCTATTGTCACTTACAGCTCCGGAGTTAAGGGACTCAGGAAGTGGACTGAAGCCTTACACCTGCTGGCAACTGCGAAAGACAAGCACTTGGTAGCAGACGTAATTATGTACAGTCTGGGAGTGAGTGCTTGCGAGGACTCAGGTGTGGCAGCTTGGCACGCGGCCTTACAGCTTTTCTTGGACGTGCGCATGCTTAGCTTGGAAGAAGACACAATTCTTGCTGGCTCGCTGATCAGTGCTTGTGAGAAAGGGCGGCAGTGGCAGTGGTCTTTGCACCTCCTCAACAACTTCAGATCTGCTCGGCTAAGTCTAAGTGTTGTGATGTTCAATGCAGCGATCAGCGCCTGTGAGAAATGCGGGCATTGGCAGCTGGCGTTGGCATTGCTGCAAGAGGACCCATCTTGCCGCGAGTTCGTGCTTTGGAGTGCTTCTGAAGTTGAATCTTTTTCTGGATTGCGGCATTCCCACACATACCCTTTGCTACATGAACGATGGATCCATCACGATGTGTTCTTCCAGTAGGGTTCAGGAACCTTGATCAATTTTTGGCTGCTTTTTACTCGTCTTTGTCCTTTTTTATAGCATTCAATCAAGCGCAGGGCCCTCCGGCAGACTTGTACTGTCATCTCGAATCGGCTTTCGCCTCTCCACGAAGTATTCATATTGATTGTTCATTAAGCTTGCATAGCCGCAGAACCTTCCTCCCTCCACCCCTGGAGGACATGAGGGCGTTGCAGATCGTGCCTGATGTGATAACCTTCAACGCTTCCATCAGTGCAAGCGAGAAGGCCACCTGCTGGCCGATTGCTTTGTGGCTCTTGGAACTGGTGGAACGTGAAGGGCTTCAGCCCGACTTGATCACTTTCAGTGCTGTTATGAGCTCGTGTGCAAAATCAAATCAATGGCAGCAAGCAGTGGCGCTGCTGCACCAGCTCTTCTCACAGCACCTAGAAGCAGACATCATTATTTACAATGCCGTCCTCAGCGCACTTGAGGCGGAAGGTCGCTGGCAGCAATCCCTGAACCTACTGGTACAGCTTCAGGACCAAAATGTTTTTGCAACCCGTGTAACCTACAACGCCTTGATTAGTGTATGTGAGAAAGCTTGTCAATGGCAGCATGCAGTGCGAACGATGACGGTGGCAAAGACAAAAACTCGAAGGGATGTGATCACGTACAATGCAGGCATCAGTGCTTGTCAGAGGGCTGAGCGGTGGATGTCTACACTCGATTTCCTGGAGCAAGTGGGACAGGGACGGCTCTGCAGCGATGTGGTCACGTGCAGTTCTTGTGTCAGTGCTTGTGGCGCGGCAGCCTCGTGGGAAAGTGCTATGTTTCTTTGCGCTAACGCTCAGCAGCAGCAGTTGCATGACTCGGTCCTTTACAGCTCTGCCGTGGGCGCTTGCAACACATATGGACGGTCATGGGCACTCATCCTGGCCGTGTTGTCATTCACTGAAAAGGCGGACCACATGGCTGTCGATATGGACACCATCGGCATGGCCTTGACCGCCTGCCTCAAAGCAGGAAGGGAATTTCACGCTCGACGTGCCATTTCACGTCTCCTGGGGCAAGTGGACAGGGACTGCCAGCTTGCACTCCAGGAAATTGTCCGGTTTCAGTAGGAATCGGCTTGTCCTCCGTGCGGTGATCCACCGGACAATTGGCTGAGTCGCCAAGCCCCAGGATGGAGCTATTTGCCCAGTGCATCGAGAAAACGTGGAGACGAGGAAATCGAACTCTCTGCATTCCTGCGGAATATGGGAAGGCTCCGGCAGCAAGCCGCTGTGCAGGGTGAATCTGCTCATCTTACGTCGGCCTGAGCTTGTCGTAACAGGTAACCACAGACGGGCTCGGCCAGTGAATAGATCCTGATTGAATAATTAAGCGGCTGGAGCAAGGACCGGCAGCAGGAAACCTGATTGAAAAGATTTGAGACATGGCCTTTGCGACATACACACACAGAGAGCGGTGCAGTGCTTCTTTTTGTCGTGTGCCAGGGGGTTACACACTTAGCGCTGCTGTCCCGCACTGGTCAGTGCAAGGACGCCCTAACTTGCATGCTCTTTGGCCGTAATCGGCTTTCTGCGTACCCTCGAATATTCAGCGGCAGTCTGCAGGAAAACGCGCAGAGGCAAGCTCTGGAAGAATTGCACCTCGGACTGGTTCTGCGCAAACGGCGCAGTACGTTGGTGACAGATGTCGGGGAAAGGTGCGAAGCCCCCGATCTCCAAGTCTGTCTTCGACCATGCGACGTCTCCATCCGGAAGGAGGCCGACACATGCTGACACCTCTGCTTGTTTCACCAGAGTCGGTGGCAAGAGGCATCACGGTTCTAACATAGCAAGTGCTCACTCGCCTTGTCAGGTGGATGAAATGCTGGCTGCTCTGAAAGACTGCGATGCAGTGTCGGTCAAAGGCTGGTAGTTGGATTGAAGTGCATCGCCGCTTTTCGCTGACTGTAGTGAGTAATCACCTCGCCGGGAAGCTTTTCTCGAAGATCTCATTGCACTTCAGGGAGGGCAACAACAGTTTATGGCTGATGAGATACCGAACAAGATCAGTTCCCGTCATAATTGCCGCTCTACCTCGAGACTGTCGCAGGTGTCTTGCATGCAGCGGGCGTGCTACAGGATTACTGCGATTGTACCCGGGGGGCTGGCCTGGAATGACAGTGTCTGGTCAGGACCACGCAATCGCCCACCTGGAGTCCGACCACCTCGCCACTGTGATTTCGCCCAAAATGGAGCGCCCTCGCGATGTTGGCAGAGTTAGACGTCTTGACACAGCAGTGCAGAAACGGGTGCGGGTGGCGGGATCGCCACTGTTCCCCTGTGCAGGATGGCGCTATCAATCTGCACGTGTCAGCCTGAGTTGTGCAGTGTTGGCTTGTTGCCAGCGCTCGTCGCAAGCTCGGTTCTGCAGGAATCCTTGTCCTCGGCAGACATCGAGCACTTTCTGCTTTTTTCGTCAGTTGCTGCGCTGCTGGGCTCACCAGGGTCCGCCTGCCTTTTTTCCGCGATCCCGCACAGTGGAGCATGCTGCATGTATCTGCATGCTTACAGTGCTTACGCTTACAGCCAGGCAGGGCAACTATGCAGCTGCGAATTCATTCCTGGATTCCTTCGCCTTGTTCCGGCAAGCAAGAGGCCGATCAGCACTCGAGAGCCCCTGCTGCTTGCTGGCACAGTGCCTTCAGGTTTGCCTGCACTCAGTGTGCAGTGGGGGCCGTGGGCAGATGTGGGCAGCGTGGCTTTCAATGTGTCTTCCCTTACCACAAAAGGCACTCCGCTCGCCAGGTTACTACCGGTACCATAAGTGCCATGATTCCTGCGCCCCAGAATTTGAGGTCCTGGATGTCATAGGCAGTGAGAAACTTCCAAGCGAAAGGCCGAAGGCGGTGGCTGGGAGTACGTTTCGAGTTCAGCTCTCGCAGGTATTTCGGAATGCAAACTGAAACAAGCTCAGGTATGGCTGCTCGAAGCGGAGTGGGAGGACCCGGCTTCTGGGCACCCAAGATATCTCCCGGCAATGCCCTGCAGGCACCATAGTTTCTCCTATAATTACGGCGAATTGCATTTGCCGCATTCGCAAGCAGGCACTTTCGGCGGTCATCGCGGCTGGCAGAGGTCTGGGGTCTTGCGAAAGCGGCGATGTGCGGCGTGTTCTTCGCTGGTCAGGGCCGGCGTCATCTGCAGCACTCAGCATCACTCGCGTTAACTGGTCGACGCCTCAGCAGTAGCAGCGATCAGCATCACGTTCATTTGAGAGAGGTCCGCTCTGCTGAAGCGCATGTCCTCGGTTCCACCGGCCTGGGCAGATTGGAAGTCGCACTGGGAGCGTCCAGGCCTGATCTGCCTGCATGTCCTGGCCGTGCCTGCAGAATCCCAAAGACTGCTCAGTACGAACGGCCGCTTCTCCAGTTCGGCCGCTTCGGCCATGGACCTGGTCCATTGGTCCATTGCCGTGTCTCGCGTCGCGCTTCTCCGTGCTGCCCTGCCGCCCTGGCCAGGACTGGCACAGACGCAGACATCCGAAGTCTACAAGGAGTGGGCTTTGTCAAAGAAGGCTTGCAGGAAGCGAACGTCCTTTAATCAAGATCCTTGCAATGCTCAGCAGCTCAGCACACGAGAAAATAGAAAACGCAGGACAGAGGCGGCCCTTAAGGATGTCGACAGGCTCGATTGGTTTGGCGATTCGGCACAGAGGCTCGGGCAGCTTTTCAAACGACTGCGCCTCGCAGGTGAGGGGGGCAGCGGGGGCATTCCATTTGGGCTCGGGCTGGGAGGTTTCTCCTCCTTCGGCCTCGCGCTCGGACCGGACGAGTCCTACTTCTGCGCTTTTTTAACGACTGCGATCTGCCTCTCCGATGGCAATGGAAACGAGGCATCACAGGAGCACCGGGCTTCTCTCGCCTGCCCGAGAGAGCGTCCCGAAGGCCTGCGCCGCAGACGCAAGGACATCGCGCGATCCCGATGAAGACACGGCTCACCCGAGCATGCGATCTTGCGCAGGATCGAAAAGTGAAGGGACAGATTCAGGCTCCGCCTCGAGCGACTCGGAGTCGCCTGATGGCATGGGAGGGGGAGCTCTCGGACTTTGACCTCACAGCTTCCTTGGCCTTGCTACACCCAGCCGTCCTAGGTCCCAGACCACTCTAGTAAGAGCAAATTGCGATGGCTGCGTGAAAAGCATCGTCCTCTCATATGCCTGAGCTTCGAAAGCATCTCAGCACTGCTAATGTGCATGAACGTCCCCACCTGGCATCCTCGAGCTCAAGTCATTCGAAAGTCTTTCTGCCCCATCGAACTGTTCTGTTGCACCACAGCCTGCGATGGTCGCCACCTAAAGACGCGCAAGAGTTCGCAAGCGGTGCAGCACATTCGGTATGTTCTGGCAACTTACAACAGTGCTGCAAGTCCGAGGCCCCGACTGCTCTTCAGGTCCCGACTTGCAACAATCCCATTTTGTCGCACGCGCCCAGTGTTTTTGTGCCAGGCAATGAAGTCCCAGCGCCGGCTTATGGCCCTCCAGGCATCGCATTTGCAGGAGTGTTGGGCGACGTTTGCATGCTTCAGACGTGCAGCTACTGCGCGGAGAACAGACTGTCGCACACAGAACGGATTTTTCAGGGGGAAGGAGTTTCTCAAAAACACAGGCACCTCGCAGTGCTTCGCAGGCTCGCAGGATCAAGGCCACCAAACTGGTCGCGGAGACCCAGAGGCCAGTCAGATCCGCTCTGCCTGGACGCTTCTCAACCCCTCCGACGGGTTCCTTGGGATGAGGCCTTGGTGGGCACCGCTCGGTTCAGAGGCGTTAGAGTCTTAGAGCATGTTGGCTTCTGTGCCCGTCGCCATCATCCTAGCATCGGACATCAGTTGCTGAGGCCGAGCTTCTTGCGGGCCATGCCACAGGTGCAATCGTGCGCGGTTTGCATGTGTGCAATCCAGAATCCCATTCAGAAGATGCCCAGAGTCCAAAGGCACGAATTGAAGAAGCCAGGTGTTTCTTGACCCTCCAAGTCGCTGAGATGTCAGTGATTCGAAGCTCAAAGGTGCCGGACATCGACTGCCATCAAATGCTGGGTGCAACTCGCGGCGCATCTCCAACAGAACTTAAGGCTGGCCCGACTTGAGATGGGAAGTGTTTCGTGAAAAGAGCACGACTTGCGATACAAACAGGACTGCTTCATAGCTTGCAGACAGGCTAGTTGAGAAAAGCCTCTGCTGCTATGCCCCCTCAGGATGCCTTTTTGGCAAAAGCGAGGCAGCATGACCCTTTGATGGATGCACAGCAAGACAGGCGCGGAATGCAAGGGCGAAGTGCGTTCTGCCGCTTCAGCATCGCAATTTGCTCGCCTTTCTCTGCAACTGTTTGAAGAGGACGAATTTTGTAGTGGCGAGAATGTGCTACGAGTTTCTGGACCTGGGCCAAGTTCGCGTTAGCAGACATGTGGCAGGATTCCGTTCCAGGCAAGCCGAGCACGCTGACACTGAGGCGGCATCTCAACGCAGTGAGGAATGTCGACGTTCACCCCAGATGCCTCTGGCTGATGCCTGCCTGGCTAGGTAGGTTATCGTGTTTCACTAGAGCTCTCAGCCATGCCAGGTAGAGGAACTGCATGAGGGCCCGTTTCAGAGGCGGAAAGCACCCTCATCATGAGTCTGCTAAGTAGTCTTCTATGAATGGTGGTCCAATATCTTCAACTTGCGAGTGGAAGGTGGAGCGGGCTGCAGTCAACGCGAGCATTCTTCGGTAGCCTGATGCCCAAGGCACAGCCGTGTTTGCTCTTCAAAGTGTAAATTCGTGTTGATTGTGCTGACTCGTGGACAGCAGCAAATGTCCCCGCGACATTGAGATGCGAAGATCCAATAACGAAGAGAAGTAGGTTCCGCAATACACGGTACAACATGTGCAGCAAGGCCATCAAAATCGCACTTCAGGAGCTGGGTGATCCCCGAAAGTGTGATTCTGCTTTATGCGACTAAGTTCTTCAGGATGTTTGTCGCACTTCCCATGTTTGTGCTTGTGTTCAAAGCTCAGCTGAGCACTACAGTAGTCAGAGCCAGGGCCAAGTTGAGTGAAGCATGAAGGAGCAACGGTCTAACCCCATGGGCCCATGCCATGGCAGATCCTTGTTCACAGCTCCAAAACTGACTGAGAGACAGGTTTCTGGCAAAGCATTGTCGAATGAATTCTATATAGGGTTAAGTTTTTCGGATATCTTCCCAACGGCTCTGACTCAGGGATTCAGCGGAATGGCAGAATTCAGATGCCTGCATGTTGGCAGGTGGGCTCAACATCTGCGTCGCAGCCGGCAAACAGATGCCCCACCGTCAGATTGTCATGGCCTAAGCTGATGTAGTTGCAGGCACATATGCCCGGAAGAACCACGCAAGTGTATGCGAGGTCGATGCTTTGATGCTGCAGTGACTTCAATCACGGAGCAACTCTCGTCTTGTGCTGCTTCGGACACTCGAAAGCCATTCTTGTCCTTTGCAGTGGCATCATCTTTGTGCAGCTCGACCCATGAGGGATGCGTCAGATACTCTGTCGCCCAGGCAGAGACAGCGAAGCTTCAACGACACCTTGCTCTTCGCAAATAAGAAGTCAGATCATGCCAACATTTTGCTGCGGGATACTGTTGTGGCCTCGTTGCACAGAGAGCGGTCCAAGTTCAACATCTTGACTTTAGGATGGTGACTGTATGTACGCCTTAGTATTGCTTTGCATATACGGCCACAGGAAGCTTGTCCCATACTCTAGTTAGAGATCGAAAGCTGATTCCGTGCCGAAACAGCAGCTGAGCCAGAGTTACAGGCGTGCAGTCTGCTAATGTCGGAGACATGAGTTGCTGTGAAATGTGAGCTTTGGGAGCTGATTCGGCACGGCAGTTGGCCAAGGGCTCCCGAAGGGGAACCTCAAGAACAACGGATTTTCCGACCTGGGTTTTCTGCATACGAGCTCGAAGGTGCGAGGCCCGTTTAGAGTTGCACAACGAGGAATACCTGCTTGCTCGACTTGCACAGTCCAGGTCTTTTTGGGACAGCAATCATTTTCCATCGCTCAGCCGGCATAGTGCTTGAGCGATTTTGCTCACTGGTCATACTGGTCGATCAAGACGCGAAGTCTGGTCACGCTTCCAGTGAAAACCTGGAGGCTTATGTAAACATGGACTGCATGGCTTTTAGCAGAACCAAGGTTGTCAAGTTGCGAAGGCCCAGCTGTGAAAACCTCAAGCCCAACGTACATACTTTTCGCATGTTCGACCAGTCACTGTGCTTCCCCGCAGATCCTGGAGTTACCAGGGCTTCTGTTGTTTCCACGCGACTGGGGTCAGAATTTCATGATGCTCAGCTCTCAGCCCAGCATTCCAGCTATGCTTCAGCTCAGGCGAGAAACCATCGCTTGTCAGGAAGTTATCCTGCGCATATCTTGGCAAGCTGCAGTGACATGCTGTGACACTTTGGTGACCACATGGAACTCACCTGCAGGCGGAGCCAAAGTTGATTTCAACTTGCTGGCAATGTACGGCAACGCACAGATGCAAGTCGATGCCCGAGAGGCTGTGAAAGCGACTTGAACGAGGTGTTGACAGCATTCGGCCGATAGTTTCACGTGCTTCTAGCACGGTCCCATCAAGCCGCTAAGACTGCTGCAGAACACCGCCGTGCAGCGGCGTAGGTCGCTGGGAAGACCCTTTGTGTAGCTACTGTGTAGCTTGCGCATGTCCGCGCACGCTCGCGCACTGGCGCGCTGCACAAACTCATCAAGATGCTCACGGGGCAGCAGTCGAAAGAGCTGACGATTGCTTTGTGACCTGTTGTGACTGCTTCTGTTGAAAGTGCTTCAGTAAGATCCATGTTAAAATCGTTCCCTGATCTGTGTAGCAGGACACTTTTGCAAGTCTTATACTTCTGTCTATTTTGAATATCGGTGAGGCGAGATGTCACCACCTGGCTAGATTCAAACGGTGTTATGGAATCTGGAAGCTGCTGCGGCTGTCGCCACGACCCTCAACACTAGCCAAATTGATTGCTGTATTGCCTGTGGAAGCTACGAGCTTGGACTCAAATTGGCGCATCCCTCATGGTTTGGCCACACTTTGGCAGCATGCGCAGCTTTCAGCTACCCCTGGCTGAGACGCTTGCTTCACCTTGTTTCAATTACCGTTTCGGTCCCTGGTCAGAAATATCAAACAATCGTCGGAGGAGCCAGACATGAAGCTGCCAAGCTTACGAAGGAGACTAGGCTGCTCTCACATTGCAGCCTCCGGAATGAGAGAGGCACGGACACTTGAGCCTAAGCAACAGTGGCGGAAACACAAGTCCTGGCAGGATCCTATGCTGATGCTCGGAAGACGCTCATAGCATGCTGCAATAGCATGCAAACCTGAACCGAGGCAGTACCGTTGTTTCAAATCACACATCCCTAAACATTCCCAGAGCAGTTTTGCACAGTCCCAGCGTTGACTGGTTTTCGTGGTTAACTGAAGATGCGCAAAGTCAACATCAGTCCCAGGTCTCAGCCCAAATATCCCAGGCAATCGTCAGTAGGCCTGAACGAAATCGCTTCTTGCATTGAGCGAAGTCCAGCGCTAGCGTGCTCTTACCGAACTGATGCTTCGTCAGGCATTCCGAAGACATCCCCGAGAAACTGACTGAAGCCACGTGGTTTTCTCATTGGCTAAGATGCAGTGCGATCTTCGGTCCCATCTTGGTGCACTTTGGCCTTCCGATGGAAACTAGACCAAAAATTCAGAGCGATCACTAGGTCAGCAAAGTCTCAACTCATGAAGGCTGCGTCACCAACTCCCCTCCAATTTCAGACCATGCCTGTCGAACTGTAGCATTGCCATCACGAGCACAGTCCATGGTGCTTCAGAATATCCGCCTCGTCCCACTAAAAAGGACGTGCTGGATCGGAGGACAAGCTTTGATTTAATCATGCTACACCAGATCACAGAAGGTAGCATCCAAAGATGGTGACCGGCGAGAGCGGAGGGAAATGAGCCCAGCACGACCACAGCTACGTTCAAAGACTGAGAAGTAACCATGAGACACACAGGCTTGAAGGAGGATCTAATGGTTTTCCACGTGGACCCTTGCTGAAATGGCACACGTCACGAACATCTCGCTTGACATCGAGCCCGCTGGTACTGGCCTGGCATGGCGGCGCAGGCGACGAGTAGCTAGTCGGTTTGAAAGTATTCGAGATGTGATCGTTCAGCATGCAGGATGCTGCACGGCACGCCTGCTGCGTCTGCTATGGGAACGGGCGGAAGGAAGGGGTGGTACAGGATCGGCCTGCTTGCTGAATTGAATTGCTGGTTCGACTGACTCCTTTGGGGAGGAAGCAGTTGCAACGGGCTTCGGGAGATGGCTGGGACTTGTACAAGTCGTCGTCGGAGCCATCTTTGCGTCTCTTGCAAGCAAAGACGCAAAGAATAGCCTCTCTCCATTCTGCAAGACTCAGGCAGAGGCGAATCCGGAATTCTGCCAGGACTATCACAGAGACTTGGCTGAAGCAGAGTCGGAGTAAGTTGTTCTCCACACATCCGCTGCAAGGCTTTCGCCAAAGCTCGCACATGCAAACTCGAGGCGGGATTGAAAGACGAAGCGAGGCCCTTCATTTTTCTCGACTCAGGTGTCGTCTTTCTTCCTCTGGAAGCAGCGGCAGCTTGGAGTTGGAGCTGGCGCAAGTTGACTCAGGTCGCTGTGACCTCGCTGCGACCTGTCGGCGAGCCCTCCAGAAAAAACTTCGATGCCAGGCTTGCCAGATGAAAATGCGAGCAAAGAGCAGGGTCCCGACAAAGGGCGGGGAAGCGCAGGCTCGAAATGCCATGAAAATGCTGTGGCAGGCATGCTTTGATGTACGCTTCAAATCGGCTGAGTGTGCCCAATAAAGACCGAGTGAAGCTCTACATGCTCAAGAATCAGTAAGCAGGGCGCCAATCCTAGTCGAAATTCACATAGATGCGGAAAATACTCCACACACGCTTACTGATGCACGGGTGTGCGTATATGTGTCAGATTGTTTTGTTTCGGATACGACTTTAGCGAAGCCTGGCAGACCCTGGTGACGACGTGCGCCCGGACGCCTCCATTGACCCCGTCCAGGCATGGCGCAAGACGCGCTGCCATCATGGTACTTTCATGCAGATTGGAGTTAGCGCTGCAGTGCCAGGCCGATGAGACCGCCACTCCACGCACGCAGTGGCAAGATGCCCTGCAAAGGGCAATGCAGGACCCTGAATGGTGACAAGTTAAGACAATCAGAGACGGAAACAGACGGGGGGGCAAGCTGCATCCAGGTCGGTGTAGGTTGTTGATTAGCGTCGAGCTCCGAGCTTCTAGTTTTCTGCTTGACTGCTGGGGCGAGCCACAGAGTTTCCTTGTCTTGGGCCTTTACGTTGATTTGTCACCGGCTCTGATGTTGCTGAACTGCTGCTCGCACATGGATGGGTCAGTGAACTGCAGCGCTTCAATCGTCGTCGGAATCGGCCCTGCGAGTCAAACAAGGTGGGCCCGAGGTCTCAGTTGGCACAGGCGTGACCAGGTGAGGGCTAAGCCAAGCGAGGGACGGCTGCGGTCAGAAGTGTTGCTCAAATCCAGAGAGGCTCATGGGGTCACAACTGAGGTCAAAGCAAAGGGGTGGGCTTGTCGGTCTAACCCGATGCCAATAGAAAGTCGACATGTACTGGCGGACATCTTGGGGCAGCACAAAGAGGAGGATTGCTTCGGCGAAGGCCGTACACATAAACAAGAGCTGGGGTCGCGAAGGCCGCCAGGAGCACATGCGCGCGCCAGGTTGTCAATCAGGACATATCAAGGCTGAAAGCCCGGATCCGCGTGCGACCGATGGCGTCTGGCCAAATCACGCATGTTTCCATGAGACATTCTGACATGGTGCTGGCCACGCCACGGCTCGAACATTACTCGTAGCTCTGCACAGCTACGCCACTGACGTTCCGTACCTTCGGTTTGCATAGCACCGTACAACTTCCACAAGGTGACCACAAATCCATTCGGTTCGGTTTGCGATGAACCGTATGAACCGATGGCGGTTCGCATACGGTTCAGTTCGTAGGGGTCGTTCGGCGGTTCGCACGGTTCCTGATTCGCATTCTTGATGAAGCGCGAACTAAACCCGAAGCCAAAACCCACAAAACTAAGCTGCCATATGTAGCGTTTCCGGTGCCGTTGTGGGTGGTGAGGGCACCAAATCCAACCATTTTGATGCCTTGCTCGTCTTGATGTGTTATGGCCATTATGCAGGGGTCTTGCAGGGGCAAGTTGGAGCTGGCCGGGTTGTTCGTTTCTTTTACGGCTCGTAGCAGGCACGGTTCTTGAACGGTTCAATTCTTGCACGCTCCGGTTTCCCGGTTCGCAGTTCGGTTGCGCGACCTTCCTGCTTCGAGGCTAGGTTGTCGTGTGGAAAAGCGCAAGCGGTGCTTCGCTGCAGCACACCACTGACCGCAGATTCCAGCGTCGATGGGCACTTATGAATTATTTCGCCGTTGCAACACATTGCTAATTGGCACGGATCAGTTTTCCGGCTTGTTGGATAAACAAAGATTCTCATTTGGTGCATTCGCGATGCGAGGACACAAACATTCCTGAAGCATTCCGCTGCGGGGACGTCATGGAAACACAGCACGGTATACCTTGCAGATACGTGAGCACGGTCACTGGCAAGAATCATATCGGCAGGAAGCGGATGTGCGCTTGCTGTTTCGCCTTGACCTGCCTCTCATGGTGAAGGCGGCGCTTGTGCAACTTAATCGTCATGTTACACAGGTTCGTGCGCCTCAGAAGACTTCTGATCAGTGTTTTGGAGATCATGCGTGGTGAGTTTGGCGAACTGGTGGAAACTCATATCGAGAAGGGCGGATATAGAGATTTTAGTGATGCTCGGTGGAGCAACCTTCCTTCCATGTGCCGGAGAGTCTGGTCCCTATCTCACACCTTTTCCGTTGTCATGGGCCATGATTTCTCCGGGCTCCAGCTTGCCCGACCTGGTGTGCAGATCTCCCCTGCCTGGCTGCCGCTGCCCCCGGCACACATAGGCAGTTGCGGACGGCGAGATCACATCGCTGTCGGAACCAAGCCCACCAAGGTGGCAGCAGCTGAAGGCTCGGTGGTTCTCAGCTTCTCATTCTGGGCATTGACAGTGGTTTGCCGCAATCGCTGCTTTACGGAAAGCAATGGGTTGGCAGGTAGCAGCGCGGTGCTTGCAGCAAGCCGCGCGGCTTTCTGACCAGCTCGTGGAATGCATGAATCATGCTCAGCTAACCTGGTGCACTCCTTGAAATGGCCCCTTACATGCTTGTAAGCTTGTCCACGGCAGGTTTGTGCTTGCTGGAACTTGCACATAATGCTGAGAACCTGTCCTGCTGCTGGTGATCCCGAGGAGTTGCAGGAGACCGGCGCCAGACAAGGACAGATTGAGTCCTTGCAGGTGCTCTCTGAGCACATGGGCCCAGACAGTGCCAGTGCCTCTCGTTGGGATGGCCAGGTCATTGGAAACCTTTACGCATTCCTCGCGCCTTGGCTGTGGTATGGTGGTACTTGAAGCTTCGGGGGAGTTCGGGGTCTTGTCGCGAAAGCCGGCGGAGCTGGGCTTGAGTTCAGCGGGCTGTTGAGTCTGTCTTGCACGGATTTGAACGGTATTCCTGTCATTGTCGACGAGGGGAAACGAACAGTAGTGGCTGCTTGAAAGAAATCCCGGTTTCCGATTGGAGAGGGGAATGATCAACTAGAGGTCAGACACAACATAGCGTCACAACCACAAGACCAAGAGCGACGACAAGATCTATGCTGTTGCCAATTGTTAGCAGCAGGAACAGTAGCCATAAGATTAGCCCCAACACGCGAACCGTAGCACTAGCCGTGACAGTACAGAGCACTCAATCACTAGTCCGGGCTTGTCCCGCAGCTGAGGAAGAACAGAAGTGCGCACAAGGCTTCGATGCCTTATGCAAGTCTTTCGACTTCCTCTTCGGAGGTTTGGAGCAGGCAAGGCCCTAAGCTTCAGAAAGCTGTGCAACTGGCCTTGTCCGGTGCTTCTGAGAGGCGCAGAAGGTGCTTGACGTAAACCGTACGGGGATCATGACGACGATGGAGTTCGCGTCAGCAGCTCGGGTTGGACAGCTGGAGATCTGACAGTCTGATCCTGTGTGTTGCCTTAGGATGGCCATGAGCCTTGTGGGCCTTGACTTGGCTCTGATCAGCGGACTTGACGAGCGACAAATGTTCTTGACCGTGGAAACTCGTCCCGAGCCAGCTTTCATGAGCGCTGCACGAGCTGATGACATCGGCTAAGGATGAGTCCAACGACGGAGCCTAGATTGCAGAGCCATATGTTGGGGTTGATGATACATTGCCACGAGAGCCAAGGTTCGATTCGAATCCAGGACCTCCTGCAGTATTGCAGCACCAAGCCCACAGAGCCCGAGCAGGGCAAGAAGAAGGCCAGCCACCAGTAATCGGCGTCGACGTCGAACATGGACTGGCTCGGTAGCGAGTTGAGCTGCGCTCCATGTTCTCTCAGCTGCGTGCAAATGTGCCGAAAATCTGCGCAATGGGGTGTGTCTGAAAGTCGGTTGCCAGATGTTCCTGACGTGCCAACGTGCTTGGAGGCCGACCGTTCCAAGCGAAAGCCTTCGCCTAACAAGGCACATAAAGAACATGAGGCTACAAAGTCGATGTCCACAGAGGCTTTTCTGTACTTCGCATGTGCAGGCCAAGGCCAAGAAGAGGCTTTCCACGACAGCAATCATTGAGTCTGCCGGCATGAAGGCGACAGAGACACCTGGTTTCGTGGAACTTCAATGCAACCTTCTCACTCATCACTTCCCTGACTGCACTTCCACAGATTTGACACTTGCAGGTGCTGCAGGAAAGAACATCCAAAGGCTGAGCTTGACAAACTTGAAAGAAGCTACCTATCGACCATTGGCACGGCCCAATGCCAGGAGTGAGACTGCAGGCGCTAGTGGTGCCCAAGCCACCGCCAAGTCTTGGGCTTAAAGCAAAGATGACAAAGATGTCTGCATTTTTGCCACTGCAGCAGCGCTCGCCGAGAATCTCAGAGCAGAAGTGCTTCACCGGGCCCTAGCGCCAGACTGAATGATACAACAATGTTCGACGACGCTTGCTCCGTTGGGGTGCGCTCGACTTGTCTCGTGCCTGGTTGAAAGATGCATGAATTCCGCTGTGGGGACAAATGCTGATTCTTGTGTAGTGTTTTTGTCGGGCGCGATTCCGAAGCAGCTCCTCGCCAAATTTGTCGGAGTGGATTAGTGTCAGCTTTCATCCATGCACTTCAACACATTCTAGAATGATGCAAGTGATGTACTGCTGACAGAGATGCTGCGTGATGTTTGGCCAGTCAACTTAAGCCCACTTGAGAAGCATGTCCGGTATGAAATCCGCGAACATGTGACGCTGACATGGCTTCGCTTTGCTATGGCGATCTTGACTTCAAGTTGTGTTCAACAACACGTAGGATGGTGTCTTGTTCGTGCGTGATGGCTTCCAGAAACAACGCCGCGATTAGTGCGCATTTTGCACAGATTTTGATGTGCACCGCGATGCGAGAATGTCGCGAAGGAGGGTAGGTTTCTTCAGCGTGCCACTTCGGCGATGTTTGGGGCTCTGGGCCCTTTGAAGAGGTCACATGGTTCATCCGCAGCAACTGCATGATATCATGACCATTCGAAGCAGAGATGTTCAGAAACTGCAACACAGCTCCAGTGCTTGAAAATCGCGGGCTTCGGGCACACCAGGATCGCGGGGCCTGCGCAAATCTCCTCGCTTGCCCAGGATTTGCTTTTCGTTGAATGTGTCAATGAACTTCAACGTTACATATATACATATGCACACATATAAAATGTTCTCTGATTTTGCTAGTGTTGAGTTGCTCAGGATGACGAGCGACATTACTCAGCGGCTGTCCGAAGAAAACTGTGTTTGCAGTGACAACCTCCTGTCGAACTTGCAGCTGCACTGCTTCAGCGGACTCGTCCTCCAGCCTTCAGGCTACGTTTGATCTCAACTCCAGTGTAATTGATGTCGTGTGCCGTATTGGCTATCCTAGTTGCCAGGCCATGTCGATGGGCGTGAACCTAACTCCATTCAAGACCGTTGAGCCGGTGACAGGTAGTCCGGAGACCACCAATGCAGGCGGGAGCGCCAAGCTGAGTTAAACTGCTCTACAGCACTCTTGAGACTGAAGGGCCTGACCGCATGATGGCACTTTTCAGCTGCAAGCTTGGTCACCAGATGTTTGGATTCTGATCCCGAGACGACCAAGAGGCATTGCATCTGAGTTTTTATGTTTCGATTTCGGGCTGCATAACGGGCTGCGCCATCGGTGCGCCGGCTTGCCATGCGCATGTCGCGTCCTCTAGTTCTTGTTGGCAGGATCTAGAGCTTTGCAGAGTCGGGTTTGCACTGGTGCAGAAGCATAAAGCCGTGTAAAGCTAGGGCAAATGCAAAATCAAACGTCGTATCGTACACGACTCCCCAAATCATATATTTTCAGCATCTTCAGGGCTGTACTACCGACATTTAATGGTTTCATTGGTGACTGGATATTAGTGGATATGTCTCCTAATTATCGGTCTGGTGGGTAGGAATTAGGAGATCAGTTTCGCGATCGTTGGAACAGACTTGATCTCTCTTTTCCGTGGCCATTTTGGCGATAGCCGATCGGGCCATACCGAAAAATTTCGGCGTGGGAGGTGGACTTGAATAGGCTCGCAAGATTGCAGCCATGTCGTTCCCTCCCGCTGGCTTCCATCAAGGTCGGCAGATGGCGGCTCCGATGGCCCCACAGTTCGGGTTGCCTCGCCGGCTTGGTCAGCCTGAGAATCCGGGAAACTGGGGACACTGTGTTCCAGGCGAGGCAGAGGCTCCCGAGAATCCCGCGGCTCCAGCCGCCGCATCCGGTGATTGGGGCTCTGGAGGCTGGGGTCGCGACGATCGTCGTGGACGTCGTGATCGTGGTGCTCCCGCTGCTCACAACCCTTTTGCGGTGCAGCGACCCGAGTTCGTTCGCCAGCTCGTGGTCGAAGAGGAGGACGAGACCAAGAACTCCCTCCTCATCATCGACAATCGCGATGATCGGGTGATCTCCCCGTTCCAGAACTGGCTGGCCGAGGAGATCATCTCGAATGCCGCCAGTTCGATCAACGTGCTCACAGAGCGGGACCTGGTCATGCCCCCGAACTCGGGCTACCACTGTTCGCTGTTCGCGAACTATACACTCGACGGTATCAAGGCAGTTCTGCTCTTCTCGATGACTTCGAGAACAGGGGGCCCATGTGCTCAGTGGGACTCCTATGCGAGTCGGGCGCTATCGCACCCTGCTTTCCAGCCCTTCACGTGGCCGGTGATGTTCGACACCTCGGCCACCTATGTGGATGTGAAGGTCTTCAATGGAAATGAGGTCCTCTTCCATTGGGTCTTCAGGGGCTACCGCTCGGACTCAGATCTCTCTGTCCAGCAGCAGTTCTGTGACGAGGTCTTGATCCGGTCGGCCAACGAAGGATGGTTCCGACCCTCGATCGTCATCTCGGTCTTCGTTGGATGGAAGGTCTCCGTGACCTCGTTCGAGGTCGGAGCCCGGGTCTACACGATCGGCCCGAGAGGAGCAGTGATGGCGAGTGATCATGCCATGAGCACTTGTGAGCTCAGGGTGACGGATCGCTCATCGCGAGAAGGCTACGGGAACGATGCCGATCGTGTTGAGTTTCGGTTCCGGGACGCCAACAACAGGATCGATCTCAAGTGCGGGAGGACTTCGGTGCCGGGCACGTGGCTCACGGTCAGCCACATCTCGGGCCCCGCCTTGGTCAGCACGATCCAGGCCTGTCGGAGCCAGCGCGCTCGCGTGGAAGGTCCGGACCACATCCAGCAGTTCGCCCAGCTGTCTGCGGTGATCGCCCGCTGGTATCACAGTGCGTTCGCCGGCGAGCAAGAGCAAGTGGGAACTGCGACAGACGAGTTCCCAGTGGATCATGGGAACTTCCACGTGAGGGCTCGATCCAAGCTCAGGATCTGCCCATTGGAGTTCGTCCGGCAGGAGGCGCTCGCCCACCGGTCGCACGACGAGAACAACGCCGTTCGAGCTCGGAATGGCCCTCCGGTTCAAGTGCCGACGGAGGGCCAGCTCGGCGAGGAGCAGATCGCTGAGGAGGTCGTCACCGATGCCCGCGATCGCATGAGGGCTGACATGCGCTTCTCGCGCACATCAGCTGCGATCACGCCTCAGGTCTTCACCGACGTGCTCCAGCACCGTGAGCAGGCGGAGTACGAGCGGATCAGCACGGTCAGGGTGGAGGAGACGGGCCAGGAGATCACCGCCTCGGCCTCCACCCCGACCTCGGTGCCGAAGGCGTTCGCCCCGGCTTATCCACCGGCCAGATCGACAACACGGGGCCCTACACGATGGACACTTCGGAGTAGTGTTCGATCGGGGCTCAGATGACGGTCAGATTTTGTGCACGCTCCTAAGAGAGTGGTGCGCCGCGCGACCGAAGCCTCCTGGCTGATCAGCCAGCTCTTCCGCGGAACAAACATGCCGGGCGATCCTCTCGGCGCGCTAGATCCCAGCGCATGTTCTGCCGGAAGTGAGTGTGATCATGACCTGTCTCAGGCACGGCGCTCGGTTGCCATTAGCAGGCACGTGCGATCGTCTGTGCAGCTGTTCAGGCCAAGCATGGATAGGTCCGTTCGGAAGATCCTGTCCCTCCCTTTGTTCGGGGATGAGTTTTGCCGATGGTTGGTGGATCTTCGGATGGCTCAGTTCGAGAAGCTCTCGGCTGTTTCGGACGGGACGATCGCTGAGTGTGTGCAAGCGTTCGTGGATCTTGTCCCTGTTCTCGAGGAACTCCACACGCCAGATCGGCGAAAGAACGAGGAGGAGCTCGGCAGGTGGGTCCCGTCGATCGAGCTGTTGTTTGTGCTGGTTCGTAGCACGGCGGCAGCGGGCTGGGCCGATCTGGCTACTGATCTAGGATTCGGCTTGGCTGAAGCTCCGGTCGTCTTCGGGCGATCGCCCCTGAAGTGCCTCCTATGCCCCTGCCACTCGCTAAGAGGCCGCGGGCGATCGAGCCACGGGCCGAGGATCCACAGGCTTCGCTCAAAGCCCGCGAGCTCGGAGAGGCACGGAAGTGGGGCATGAGGCTGAAAGCGATCGTGGAGAGGTGCGGCGAGCACGCGGCGATCGCTGGCAACCCGAAGCCTGGATCTCCTCTTTCTCAAGATGAGATGAACGCGCTGAGGGTGCTCGTCTTCGAGAGTGGCGGTTTCCGCACCGTCCAGCAGTGCGTTCGTCACTGGGAGAGGATGGAGACATGGGCGAGGTCGCAGAACATATCGGCGATCCCGCTGACCACCGATGTGCTCGTCAAGTGTCTCTTGAATCTCTCCGATCGAGGATGCGGTCCCACGGTCATACCTTCGGTCCGCGGGGCGGTCAAATGGATCTGCAAGCGGATAGGTATGCGGCTGCCAGATCTCCTCGATCCCCGGATCGTGGCTTTGCAGAAGAAGGTGTACGGCGATCGAGGGAAAGAGACTCGGGAAGCAGTTCCTATCCCTCTGGTCTTGGTGGCGGCGCTCGAGAGGTTTGTAAGCGCTCGTTTCAAAGCGAGCCAGTTCCCCATGGCGTTCTTCGCATGGTGGGTGCTCGTGATGATTTACTCGTCCCTCAGATTCGACGATGCGCTCCACGTCGTGCCTGAGGCGCTCGCCTTGAAGGACGAGGCCCTTTATGGGGTGGTGTGGCAGACTAAGGTCGAGCGGCAAAAGAAGGGGACGCGATTTGCAGCGGCCAGAGTCTCCGTCTCCGGATCCGATTGGATGGAAGACGGATGGCACGCAGCTTCGTTCGAAATGGACGATCGCGACTACTTCATGAAAGAGCTCGAATCGGCTGAGCGGTTCGCCGATCGACCCGCTAGCTACCAGAGAAGCATTCTGTGGCTGCGGTACGTGCTCACTACTGCAGCCTCAGATGACTT